AACACGGCTCTCCAGGGGCCGCAGCTGAGGCGTCGCCCCGGCCCACGGGGGGCTGGCGGGGCGGCTCCAGGGCTGAGCGGGTGAGTCTGCGGGCCCCGCCTTGCGGGCTCGGAGGAGGCACCGCGCCCCAGGGACACGAGTCGGGCGCTGGGGTGACTCACGGACTGAAGGCCTGCAGGTGCTTGATGCCTGTGTGGATGGCCTTCTGCGAGCAGGCCATGGTGGCCTCGTGGTCCCGGGCCACGTAGGTGAAGTGGGTCAGCCGCGTCAGGGTCTGCAGCTCCACAAGGGGGTCTGACCAGCTGCACTCTGAGGCCATCTTCACCAGCTGCCGGTGGCGGGGGAGAGGGGCGTCTGTGAGTGGGTGGGGGCATCTCTGCTGCCAGCTCACGGCTGACATCACATGGACGGGTCCAGTGGTCACCCAGCCTAGGCTGAGTCACCTGTGAGGTTGAGGCTCCAGCTGCCAATGGCGGCCAAGCCTGGGTGGGGCTGACGGGCTGGGGACAAGTGTCCCAGTGTCCACACTGCGTTCCTGCCACACGGGCAGCCCTGCCCTCTGACGAGCCAGGAGACCAGACTCAGGGGCCCTGAGGGGACCGCTCGGCTCTGTTGGGAGTGCTGTGCTGAGAACGCGGCAGGGCCGCTGGCCACCTGGGGCTCCTTGTCTCGACAGTGGGATTCGAATAAGCACCTCGAGTTGGGGAGCTTTGTCGGGGCACAGCCCCTGGAATGCCTACCAGGAGCCTAGTGACACCTGCGTGGGCCAAGGGGGAGGAAGGTGACTTCTGGGGGGAGGTGACACCTGTGGGGTGAGGGAGCGACAGCTACCTGAGCCAAGGGGGGCACTGTGAAGTCCATGAGGCCCAGCCCGTTGCAGGAGTGCATCTCCAGAGCAACGAGGACTCCGGTCACCGAGTTGATGCCCTCGTTGGTGCTCTGGTGGGAAGGAAGTGCAGAGGGCCCCTTAACCCCCGGGGCTGGAGAATCTGGACTACTCGGGAAGTGACCCTGTGAAACATCAGCTCTGCAACAACGATCGGAGCTGTTTGTGTAAGTGTTTGTCTCCGAGCCACCTCTTCACGTAATAAAGAGGAGTAGGCGCTGCAGCCCCCAAGGTGGCCCGGCGGCTGGCTGAGCCGGCCAGAGGTGGAGGGCAGGTGGCCAGGCACAGCGGGTGGCCCTCTGCCTGGAGGCCCCTCCCCTGGTCCTGCTCCAACCCGGTGCTCACTCCTGGCAGGCTCAGATGCCCCTCCCTGATGGTCCCCGCCTTGCCAGCCTCACTTCCCACCTGAGCCACGTGTCCTGGCTCCAGCTGGGGCCCCAGGGAACCTCCCACTGGTCTCCATCCACGGCCCACGTCTGCAGGAGCAGAAGCCGTGGGGCTGGCCCTGCCCCCTCCCCTCTGGGTCCCTGGTGGCTCCCCTGCATCCTCACCCCGACGGCCTCGTGTTCACAGCTCAGGTGGCCCGTGGGGCCCTGCCAGGGAGGTGCCCCCTCTGGCCTAGACGCACCTCCAGATAAGGCCACAGTGAGGTGTCACTGAGGGTGGACAGCGCCCCCAGAGGCCCAGCGGCTCTTGGTGGACAGTTACAACTGTGGCCAGTCAGCTGGAGGAACGAGGGGATGTTCCAGCGGCCAGGCAGGCAGGGGCGGCCTCATGCCCCATCTCTCGGGGGTCGGCCTGGGCAAGGATGGACCCTCCTGAAGGGAAGCACCCCTTCCGCAGCCCCACCGCCCCGTCCCCCAGGCTGCTCGCCCTCGGGTGGGGAAGACTTCAGCGGGGGCGCCCCCCGGCCGGCACCTGCTCGTCTGTGCCCAGGTGCGGCCCGATCTGCTGCCGCAGCAGCTGCTTGGCCTTCACCCACGTGGCGATGAGCTGCTGCCGGGTGCTGATAGGCACCGCCTCCTCAGGCACCGTCCCCTTGGTCAGGTTCAGGGCGAACTCGCAGACCTGAAACGGAGGTGTCCTTGCTCATGACACCTGAGTCCAAACAGGGAACCCAAGCCAAGACCCAAAGCTGCAAAAGCAAAGCAGACCTGGCTCTGGGTCCAGAAGGGACGGTGGCCCAAATGTGCACTAGTCCAGGGGCTGAGGCACAGCCTCAGGAGGAAGGAGGCACCGCTCTCGGCCACACCTGGGGCAGCCGCAGGCTCTGCGCGTCCCTCAAACTCACTACGGAACTCACTTTCTCTCACGTTTGTTAGGAATGGGTGATGGGTCATCCGATGCTTGTCAACACCCATCAACATCCCTCATCCTTGACTGGGAAGACCGCCACACATTCCACGCCACCGGGAGACGCAATCAGGGGACAAACAACCCCACTCGGTCACCATGGAACCGTCCGTATCCCTGGCCTGTGCATCTTTCGTTTGGTGTTGCGGCTTTCCTGTTCTGAACTGGCATTGGTCCTATTTTTCTGGCCTCATGTCCACATTTTTCTGAGCTCTGGGACTTGCAGGGACGTCCCCACCACTGACACCCAGGTGTCCTCGTCTTGTTTCCTTTGCTTTTAGAGAAAGCATGTCCCCCGCCCGCGCCCCATTTCCGGGCAGCTGAGAATGCCTGTAGCCTCCCGTCCTCATCTGCTCTCCCACTGACGCCTGTACTGACCAGGGTCTGCCACCCCCCGGCTCTGATCCCACCCGCGGGTGCGGCACCTCCACTGCAGTCCTGACTTCGGAGGCGGCCTCAGGGTCCAGCGGTGTATGAAGTGGGTTTGAGCGTGCGTGTCTTCTAGACTTCTCTGGCATCAGGGCTGGGATCCAGGTGATGATCAGGCCTCGTGCCAGGGTGTTGCAGAGCGTCGCCAGCAGCACCAAGTCTCTGGAAGAGAAGGATGTCCGGGCCAGGCCATCCCAGGGAGGAAGCCGTGGTGACGGGACTGCCTGCGGTGGAGGCTCGTCCTCCACCAGGCGGCCTTCACGCCTGGGAGACACCTGTGCCGCGTGGGCTGGACTCCTCAGGGAGTCCTGCGGGGCCTGGACAGAAAGGCCCACCTGGCCACCGTGCCCACTGCCGGGCCATCCAGCAGGCCCTCCACTGGGCGACAGATGGAGCGGGCTTGGACCAGAACCTCCCTGCTTCCTCCTGAAACGTCTCAGCACCGAAACATTTAAAACCATCAAACGCGGTCTGACCTGTGTCTACGACAGAGACACGGACACCCGCCTACAAAGAGAGGTGCTCCCGCAACCCCTATGGTCCTGGGGACCCTGCCAGGGCCTCGCACCCAGGTGAGGGCACTGGCAGGCCCGTCCTCCATGGCTGTTCCGTCCTGTTCGCAGTGTAAAAATCCCCACGTGCACATGTAGCTGCGTCCTGACTCACTCAAACCTTTCTGCTTCAGGATCTGGCGAAAAATTTTAAATTTGAGTATTTAGACTAAAAGCCCAAGCAACAGAAAACACAAAGAGGGCTTCACAAAGTCACCCTCATTAGGTAAAGGTCTGGCCTGACTTGACGCTTTCACACTTCTAACTTCAGGTAGTGAAAACATCGGTCTCTCATGAGTTCACACCACCTGGATATGAAAACTCCCGGACACTGATTTCCAACCCGCCCCAAATCAGACCAAGGTCGGTTTCCACCCCTGTTCCTACGAGACTCGGGCCTCGCCAACCTCCCTCAGAATTGCGCTGTTTGCAACAAGAGTGTGACAGGCTGGGAACCCGCGTGGCAGTGATGCTGCTGGGAATCCGTGTGTGGGCCTGAGGGCGCCTGAGCACCTCATCGATCCCCACACATTGCCCTGCGGCTTAGAGAGGGTATCTTGCTCGGGGTGCACGGCCAGTACACAGAGGCCCTGCTAAGCACTAGGTGAGGGTGGCCCCTCACGTCCCACCCCACAGCTCCCGGCCCGATCCCAGGGTCTCTGGCAGGGGCAGGATAGGGCCCTCCTGGGAAGCCAGGATGCACACAGCGACCGCCAGCCTCACCCACCCGCTGTGGCCCATGGCCTTGACGATGCCCAGGAGGTGGTACAAGGCGTCCACGAGCTCCCTCTGGCGCCCGGCCGTGATGAGGTGCTGGTTGTGATTCAGGACGTAGACCATGGCGTTCTGCACGATCCACGCCTCCTGTATCCTCTGCCCAATGTCGGCCGAGCGCAGCCAGCTGTTCATGGCATACTGCGACAGGCCCTCTATCCAGGTCCTACAGAAGGCGTGTGTCAGGCTCTCCCCGGGATTAAGACCCTACCCAAAGCGGCAGTAAGACATGAGTGTGAAGCCGTCCCTAGAGCCCAGGGGTCAGAAAGTTACCCTGCTGGGGGCTGCCCGCCACTCCCGCTGAAGGACCCAGCCTGCCCATCTCCTCCCGCCTCCACCCCATCCGCCTGGCTCTCCCATCTCCCTGCGGGACGCCCCTCACCCTGCCCCTCCCTGGCCGAGGACGGACCCCTGGCCGAGGCTTGCAGGCCGCCAGTCCAGCTCTGCACCTGCCTGTGCCCAGTCTCCCCGGCCCATCGCACGCAGGCTGCCCTCCTCCATCCACATGGGTGCGTGGGACCTGCTGGCCTCAGACTAGCACCTGGCAAGCCCTTTCTCTAAAGGGCCAGACAGTTAGTACCCTGGGCTTTGACAGCTGCACGGAGTCTCTGTTGTGTGTTTCTCGCTATTTAATTTCACAAACTTAAAAACCATCAAAACCACTGTTAGCTCGTGGGCTGTACAAAAGCGGTGGTCAGGTGTGGCCTGGGCCCTCCGCCAGGCGTGGGGAGCCCGGCGCCAGACGGGAGTGGCAGCAGCCCCTGGGGAAGGCCGCGGGCTGCGCTCTCACAGGCGACTTAAAACACCAAGACAAACCCCATCTGCACAAAATCAGGGCCCTCCTTCCTGTGCCTCTCGTGGGCAGAGGGAGTCCGGCGGCATCCCCAGCTCCCTCCACAGCAGGCGGGTGTGAGGGCCCGTCCACTGGGTGCAACAAACAGGAAAGTGGCCCCTGTCCGCATTCAGCGGGAAGCAGCCAACAGCCTCGGCTCCTGCGACACCACAACGCAGACATTCACTCAAATATTTAATTTTAGATGAAACAACGGCTAAAAACTGTGGCTGTTTCCACAGCACCTCGATTTCATGATTAAACGCACTTGGCATCTCACGTGGGCAAGTCTCTGGGGGGTTCCCCGGGGGCCCTCTTTCCGTTCACACACTTCCCGGGACAGTTTCCCATGGCCAGCCCCGACTACCGCTTCCCTCCGCAGACACCAACTCCCTCACATCTCGTTTCCACCAATAACGAGGAAGACTAACCACAGCGAACAACGACGTGAGCTAGTGAGCTGCGCTGGACGGCTGGCCACTTCCCTCCCATGTCTGGGCGCGGCCCCCGTCCCAGCCTGTGCCCCCGGGCCACACATGAGCAGTGCCAGGTGCATAGGACGCGCCCCCGCGGCTCCCCTACCGGTACGTGATCCACTCGGCGTTGTCCTCTGGGGACTCGGGTATGTAGCCCACCGGGTGCTGACTCAGGTCCTCGGGGGGCATGGGACGGTCATTTAGCTGCACGCCCTCTGAACGCAGCAGGTGGACGGTGGCCTGCAGAGGAAGTGAGTGGAGTGGAGGAGAGAGGTCCCGGGAGCACAGACCCAGCGCGATGCCCCCAGGGCCTTCCCGGCCCCCGGGTCCTCCCTGCCTGCAGTGACACTTCCCCCACCCCACGCCGTTGCTTCACGCATACACGCTGCATCTCAGAGAGAGACGGGCTCCTTTCGAGAGCACAGCCTGAGCCCCCAGGGACACAAACGTCCCCTTGTCACACCACAGGCGCCCACAGCAACCCAGTCCCCGTGCCTCCACAGCTGTGCACGGAAGTCCTGCAGACTGACAGGACCAAGGACGGGGGGCAGGTGGCCTTGCCTGCCTCCCGGGGGTGATGCCGGCTCCATCCCTGGCTCCGCGGTCACCTGCCCCCAGCTCTCAGCACGGCCTGGCCCTCAGGAGGCGCTCAGCAAACCCTCACTGAACGAGCCAGGGAGTTTTGGCCAGGTTACCCCATCGCCCCCCAAAATGAACAACCTCGAGTGGCCCCAAGAATCCCGAAGTTACAAAGTATCACCAAAATCACCACCACGTGCAGGGGCAGGGATGCCAGTGCCAGCTTAGACCCAGCTCAGCCACCTGGCTGGCGCTGGGGTCTCTGCATGCTCACTGCAGGGGGCGGTAGCAACCCCGGTCAGGGCTGAGGGGGATGGTCGCCAGCAGCCTTCAGCAGCCTCTGAGGGGATGAGATCAGAACACACGCTCCTCCCTTACAATGGGTTCAAAGTGCTTTTGAAGCTATTCCCATGCAGAGGGCACTCTCAAATCCAGTAACCATCAGCCTGCAGTGCCTATGTCACCGTGGATTCACAGTTCAAACGTTACTTCTAAGGAAAATTAACATCTACACCCCTCACGATACATTCTGATTTATATTTTTCTCCCAGAAAATCTCCCAAGAACCCAGGAAAACTTCCCCAAAGGACAGGCTCCTTCGGGAGCAGGGCTGGGGTATAGGGCCACGTCCGTGCAGACGCAGGTGACACGGGGGCCGAGGGGCCGTGGGCAGGGACGCACCTCAGCGCTGATGAACCCCACCTCCGCGAACTCGCGCAGCAGGCTGGGGGATGCCTGCCTCTGCAGGGTGGCGTCTGACTGGCCCGAAGAGTCCTGCTCCGCGCCGGCCCCGCCCTTCCTCCCTGGAAACAGCAGAGCGGCAGGATGCCCAGAGCCGAACAGCCTTTCAGGGCACGCGGCGCCGCCCCGGGCGCGGCGGCGGGGTCTCTGCGAGGTGGCACTGTGCCCAGGAGGGGCTGGCAGAAACCTCCCAAGCGCAGGGGCCCCACGGGGTGGCGAGGTGTCGCCAAAGCCAGCTTGGCCATGGCCGGTCTCCCGCCGATTCCCTGACAGCTGGGCTCTCGGTTCTGTTTGCGCTGTTCCGCCCCTTGAGCGGCCCGGGTCCCGCCCCCAACACCCAGGCCCCGGGCCTCCTGGGACCGCCTGCAGGTCCCCCCATCCTCACCGTTCGCAAGACCAACCTCTTCCAGAGACCTGCAGGCCGGACTCATGCGGACCCAGCGCTGATGGGTGGAGCCGGCCCAGGCCCACGCTCTGCCCGCAGGCCCCCCGCCTGCATCCCTGGGTGCCCTTGCTGAGCCCCGCGGGCGCCGCAGCAACCCCAGGTCGCCTGGGGAGATCCCGCGGGTGCGGGCGCCCAGGCGTGGCCCCGGGGCCTACCTCGCTTGAGCCTCGCCTGCCGCTCCACCTTGCCGACGTCATACGCGAGGCAGAAGCGGCTGGCCGTCCGGCACACGTCCCACACGCCCTGCTTCCGGGCCACCTTGGCCAGCTCGGCCCAGATCTGTACCCTGCACAGGTGCGCGATGAGCTCTCTGCTCGGGAGAACCGGCGCAGGGCTCCTGCCACGAGCCCAACGGACGCCCCAGCCTGGACGCGAGGCGACGGGCAGACGCGCTGCGCGGGGCCAGGCGAGGGGGTGGGCAGGGGTCCGGTGCCCCCGCCGCGACGAGCCAGGAGCCCCCGCACGCCCCCCGGCCACCGCCCGCTCACCTCTCCTTGGCGTTCCGGCCCCGCAGGCACCGCACGTGCCCCGCGGCCTCGTCCACGCTGAGGGAGTGGTGCCGCGCCTTCGCGTACAGGTAGGTGAAGCGGCCCCGCTTTTTCCCGGTGGAAACTGAGGGTGGACAGCGGGACGGGGCAGTGACGCGGCGGGTCTCGGGTCAGGGCACGTTCCCGCAACCCCAGCGCAGGACTCTGGACGGGTGTGGTGGCGCCTCCCAGCGTCTTTTGACCTTTTCCTGAAGATTAGGTCCCGCTAGCTGTGCCTTTGTGGGGGAGGGGCGCCGGGCACCAGGGGCAGCTGGTGCGCAGAACGACTCCCTCTGCACCCGCCGGGCCGGCCCCAAGAGCCTCCCCCCGCGCCCAGCACAGTGGTGACCTCCGTCCCCACGGCCCCCCCACCTTCAGGAGCCGACTGGCGGGGACCCCGCGGAAGGCCCCCGCCTGGCCAGGTACTCCTGCCCGGTCCCTCGCCGAATGAAACGCACCGAGAGAGCCCGAGCGTGTCCGGGGCGGCTGCCCACTGGGCCCGTGCCCCTCACACCCAGCAGGACAAGGAGGAAGCACGGGGTGGCACTGCCACGCCCCGGACGGGGTGACAACAGGACCTGGTGACGTGCGGCGGCCACAGAGACAGCACAAGGTCCGTGGCCCACCGAGGCCAAGGGTCACATCCTAGAGCCGTCCCCCAGTCCACATCCCAGATCCACCACACTGGCCACCGCGGGCTCCCTCCGCGGCTCCTGTCTGCGGACGGCGGGGGCTGCGCGGCTGAAGGCTGCCGGGGGAGCCAACATTAAGGGAGCCCTGGGCGACCTCAGGTGGGACTCCGAGAGGAAGGGCGCCGGGGGGCTCCAGAGCCGGGCGCTAATCTGCCATCTGCAAGGGTTCGATATACTTGGGGGTAATGCAGAGAAGCCCAGGACCCCCATCCTTGGGGGGGACGGTGGCATGGGGGCAGTGCCCCCTAAAGTGTACGAGGAAGCCCTGACCCCCAGAACTCCAGAATGTGACCTTGTTTGGAGATGGGTCTTACCAGGAAAAATCAAGTTAAAGTGAGGTCATTAGGGTGGGCCCTAATCCATTATGACGGGTGTCCTTAAAAGGGGAAATTGGACACAGAGAGAAACGGGTGCAGAGGCAAGCCAGCCGTGTGGGCCCCGGAGACAGGCCCAGGCGGCCCCTCCCTCCAGCCCCTGGTCTCAGGCTTCGGGCCTCCAGGCTGTGTGAGCCTCCCCCCGCGCCACGGGAGGTGCTCTGTCGCGCAGAGTGGGGACAGGAGGCTGCACACCAGCACCTGAGGCCCGTGTGGGCGGAGGTCGAGGGCAGGTGGGTTCAGGAGTGTGTGTGCTGCTGAGAGAGCCTGCACACCTTTGGCCTCGTTCTCACTGTCGAGCACGATCTGGAAGGTGTCAGGGGCCAGGGCCAGGCCCGCGGTCACCAGCAGCGCCCGCTTCTTGCGCACACTGTCCTCAGGCATCGCTTTCTTTGCCTGAGAAGAGTAGACAGTGTGATGAGCACCCGCATCGTCCAGAGCAGCACCACTGCCTGTCTCTGCTGAGCGCTCCTGGCCTGACGGGGCCCCGCCCAGGATGCCTGCCCACCCCAGGCGCAGAGGCCGCAGGGCCCAGGTCCGGGGGGGCGGGGCGCACCTGCTCAATGGCCAAGGTGGCCTTGTCCTCTGTGCGCTCGGGGACCTGGCACGGCGTGGCGCAGAGGTGCAGGCGGTTGAGGGCCACCCTGAGCGTGTCCTGGTAGAGGCCCAGGGTGTCCAGGAGCACGGCCTTCCTCAGGTGCCCCATGGCAGGCTCCAGCCGGTCCGCACCCTCCTCAATGTACGCCATCTCCATGTGCACTTGGCAACGGAACAGGACCATGAGGCTGGAGGGACAGACAGCATTGCAAGGGCCCGGCGGGGCTGTCGCGGGACCCCCCCCCC